ATTGAAAACACCTGGCCTCCTCGTTCTGGAACCTCCGAGGCTGACGGCTGCGGCGCCCGTGGGGGTCATGTGCATCTTCGGCGTGGCTTGGGCCAAGTGGATCTCAAGATCTCGTGGCGTGTGTCTTTGGGGTTTCCAGCATTTCTTTAATGGATTGGCAGGAAGGTGTGTTTTTGGCAGTTGGTTTTGGGTGCTTTGAAATCTTTGAGATAACTACGATAAGATGTATGGACGGATTGCAGTAGTGTTTGTTGCCCTGATTCCGTGCGTGTGGCAATTGGGATCCAAGGGAGAACTTGGGGCCCTGCTTTGCACGGGGCAGGTGTTTGGTTTGATTATTAGTTTTAGCAAATCTCATTCTCACTGCCAGCAGGTGGTCATTGCCGGCAGGTTGGTTGTTAACGGTTGGTTAACAACATTTCTTTTGATTCGTTTGGACATTTTGGCTGGCCCGTCAGTTTCAGGAGCCAAGGGTTTCTTGGACAATAAGAAGCTGGCCATGGTGGCCCTGAGTAGATGACAAACATCAGCCACAAAGCTTTGGGCTCGAGTGAATGGGCGTTCTCCGCAGATAGTGAATTTTGGCGAAACCTTGACACTGAGGGTGACTGGGAAACTTACCACCGTCTTGCAACAGAACATCCTGCACCACCTGCGAAGCATACAGACTTTCATGCTGTTCATTTGTATCTACCACAGCAGGTCCTGAGCTATCCCTGGCTGAAGAATAGACAATGTATTTGATACTATTATGGACAGTAGATGGCTGAGAGTAAATTTGGACTCCTTTTGGATACAGTGTGCGGTCGCCCTGGTTCTGTTCAGTGAAGATTGTCAGGCTTCTCCGCCCCTTTGGTAATTCTGCCATTCCAACTTCGCATCCATAGCTTCTCCCAGACAAATACCTTGACTTTACTTTGGAGGAATCGATGCAACCCACAGGATGCTCCAGAGAACAAATATGTGAGGTCGATCCGCGTGATGAAGGATCCCACTGCATCGAGCAGGTGGGCAAATCGAGATCGGCGCGGGGCAAAGCTGACCAATGAACTTCACAGCCAAGATCCCAACGGGAATGTCAATGTGGGTTGCATATATCTACCCTCGTGTACTGCGCATAGTGGAAGGACTTTGAGTGGCAGGGCAGTTACCCCAAGCTAGCTTTGGCGCTTTGGAAAAGTGTTTTGTCGTGTTTTGTAGTCCGAGATTCACGCAGCCGAGGGTCGACTGGGATGGACACAGAAAAGAGGGGAACGCAAACAACGATTCTGCGTCTGGTGGGGTGAACATGATCATTTACAAACAAAATCTTTAGCTCATATGTCTTTTTCTCTTCACTAAAAAAACTAACAGGTTTTAATGGGCACACTGGCGAATTCTCTATTTGTCTCCATGCAGTCATGTTGGGAAGGGGAACACTTTCTATGGGCAGCTCGTCGGGCTTGTTGGAAAGAATGAGAGCCCAATCGAATGAGACAGAGAGCCATGAAGGCCATTTCCTTAGAGAGCCATGGTGTTTGACTGCCAGTCCCAAATTCAAGTCAGTCGGTTTGCCACCACACGAGCGTTGTCAGATTTGCTGAAACACACCATGGGAAGTTCTCCGGCTTGGGTCTAGTGACACTCGACGTTGACCCCAGGGTGGCCCCTATGGGGTCAACGGCTGGTGCTGGACAAAAAAGGCCTGTTGGGAAGAGGGTGTATGTGGCAGCTAGGTGGGTGGTGCTTTGATGTCAGGGCCTAGAGATATAAGAAGTCACAACTGAACATGCCAGTGTAAACTGATCGAAGCCGTTCAGATTGCAGCGGGACATGTTCTTCCAAGGTGGGGTAAACAGATCTATGGTCTATGATTCATCATATAAAAAACATATGATCCCCAATCTGGCCCAATCTTCTGACCTCATTTCATGGTGGATGGGACATTATGGATGGCTGTAGCAGGGTAGTCCTTTTCCACTGTTGGGAGATTTATTTTGCCGTGCTTTCATGCACTTTTCTTCAGTATAGTTAAGAGATGGATCCAACATGGCCAGACTGGCTTGAGATACTCCCTGACAATGTGATGCGATCGTTCAACAACCCATGCGCGGTGCTCTGCAGGACCACTTGGAAGAACACCCTCCTGTTGAAAAAGAGTTCTCCTGCACCACCTGTCTTGTTCTACAGTTGACTTCCTCACCTTCCATCATTTTCAAGCCCTCCGGCCGCGACCTCTCTTTCCAGACACTTGGTGACTCTCCTGCAGCTTGAACAAGAGTTGAAAAGGGATGACTTAACGAGTCATTGCTTTGCTACCAGTCATCAGGTCCATTCGATGTAGAATTCCGTCCCCCGGATTCTTGGTGCACCTTCAAAGCTCCCTCCGGTGGGTCAGAGAAACACCAGGAGTTTCGTCTGACGGAGCAACTATGAGAAACAGCAGAAACTTGGGTTGCGGATATAGCTGGATGAAGGCTGCATGTGTCTTCCCTATCACCGACCCAAAAGGAGAAGATAGGCAAGGTAAAACAGTCTAGATACATCGCTTCTAGTAACAAGTGCATCGCTTCTAGTAACAAGTGCCTTACTAGTAGTAACAAGGACGCTACTAGTAACAAGAAGCTACTAGGTAACATTGACAAACGGCATGTCATCGCTCCAACGGGCCAAACCGGGACAACGACGCAAGGACCGCTCTGCCTGGGGCCATTGCTCGGAAAAGTGCCCGTTGAGTGGGCAGGAGAAGGCTGGGTGAAGGACACCGGGAGGAAACAGAAAGGAGAAGCGTTTCCCGGAGCAAGGATGCTACTAGTAGCTCCTGGCATCGCCACTAGGAGCAAGGACGCTACTAGGAGCAAAGGGCATCGCTACTAGGAGCAAGGACGTTTCCTGACCTTCAAGGGTCAACCGACATACCGGACCGATTAGGGTTCCTGTACGTGCTTGGCGCACGGGAAAGCTTGTTGGGTGCTCAATTCACGTGCGTAGTCTACTGCATCACTGGGCCAACCCATCTACTGGTCTACCCTCGAGTTGAAGAATCCGTGGTGATGCAGCATTGAGAGAGCCTCCGGGATCCATCAGGTGCTGGCAGAGAAGCTGGAGGAGATCGAAAAGTGCGGGCCTGGAGCAAGTGCACAGCAGGGCACTTGTTGCGGCTGGTAATTGTAAGATCCACAAAACCCACTTGCTAGAGATCAGAAGATAGAGCTTCCGAGATTCCTTTCTAGGGATGGTCATTCAAGTCGCGGTTGAGGACCTCCCAATACTCACACATTTCAACCAAACATGAAAGGATCCCTAAGCAGCCCAAGCAATGCTCAATCAATCATCGTTGCATTGTCTCCATTAAATAGCTGACGATGGACTGCTCCTCAGCAGTCGTTTTTTTCTTTCGGATACGTGCCAATCGGGTAGCACTTCTCCGACCAATCCTGAGGAAGTTGGACACCGTGAGCCAGGCGGTGGCCTCTTCGGATCACCCAGAGAGTCACCCGGAGAAGCCGAAGTGACTTGAGTGACCCGTGCAAAAGCGAAGGCACGGTGGAACGGTGGAAAGCGATGGCACGTGCCAGTTGCTTTGGATGAACCGGCGAGAATCAGGCCTCAATTCATGTGATGCAAGCGCTGATGAGCATGAGGGCATGCAAGCCAGATCTGTGCACCAGCTCTCACCAAATCGATTGGGAAACAAGGTCTTTGTTTCTATCGCATCTCACATACCATGCATTGTGTGCGCGGCATCGAAGAGTCAGACATGGTGGGCATGGCAGACAAACAGCAGGGCTTCAGGGAGCTGAGTGTGAGGGCATTGCTCCACGGTGAAACGGGCCACACTTAGAATCATCTAAAGGGCCATTGTCACTTCCTGGTTCAACTGGGTTTGAAAAGGCATCATTTGCCCTCACCTATCACCCACCCCAAATATAATCTACCCTTGTTTCCTTCCTGCACCTGGTTTCAACACAGCTTCATGCTAGACACGATCCAAGCTCCCAGGTACGCACACGGTAAGTAGGGGGACCTGTAGTTTACCACCATCTGTTGATGTTCAGCTCGGTGGCTCGCACTGCAAACGCCAACTCCTCATACAGGTTGAACTCAAAGCTGCAATACATGCTTATCAGCCAAGGCTGCCCCAGAGAATGCCGGAAAAATCTGAGTTGCCCCGGCTTGAGGAGTGAAAGGCGGAAGGAAGATACGGAGAAGCCCACTACAAGTAGTACCACTAGTTCAAGGTAGATGACCCTCCACGAGGGTGCAATTTATACATGGTGTCACACTTCAGCTGCCTGCACTGTACTTGCTTCATTTGTGAATGAACGTTCTCGGAAGAGAACAACATATATATATATATATACACACTGTAACTCACCATAACATACTGTATGGTACTATGGTACCCCTGAGGTTGTGTAAACTGGGAGCCATCCTGAACCATGCGTCGAAGGCACAAAGATGCCAACAATAATTACATGGGATGTGGGTGTTTGTGGATATATCCGTGGTTGAAATGCAAGAAGTCTTTAGATCGAGTCTTTCACGGTCTCATGATTGGGCTTTAGATGTCATGGAAGCCGGCAACATCGCTGCGCTTGTAGACACCGTGGATTCATCTTTAGGCTTTAGGCAATTTTCCCACGAACCACCCGACCCTGGTGACGAAGTTTGGGTCGGACCTGGAGGTGTACATGGAACCAGACTGGATGAAGGAGTGGGAGGGCCTTCATAGAAACCTTGGTGAACTTCGAGTGGTTCTGCCTCTGCCGCACAGTTTCATCCGACGGACACGTAGAACTGTGCAAGCGAATGGAGTTTCTGTGAATTTTTGATATTTCTGTTACTGTTGATCAATTGATCAACGAGGTTCCAGTGTTGAAAAAAGAAGGCTGTACAAGGGCGAAAGAGAAACTTCAGACCAAACTTGATCAAATAAGCAAATCTTCAGTCCTTCAATCCAAGCACTAAGAAGACAGCACTCAGTTTTGCCCAAGCTTTAGCTTGGAATTCTTACCAGGGTATGTTTGTGCCTTCACCGCTGCACCACAACATTTCCTGCATCGACGCCATGGAAACACCTCTGAAGTATTTGTTGCTCTTCACTGGCTTCTCTGCCTGTGCCCAGTTCGACTCAGGCAGATATCGATATCATATGATGCATAACGCCTAACCACCCCTCCTGGTAGCTTGAGGAGCGCGGTTGGAGTGGGAGCCCTTGGTCGACCAAACCAACAACATATAACACATTTATACCTTATTAATCTTATAACTGTGTTATATGTTATATGTTATGTTAGCCATAAGTGTTATGGCTTTTTGGGGCACACTCCAATCTTGAGACACCCCGAGTCCATTGGCGATCCCGAAGCAGATCGCAAAGAATTTGATCAAGCAATTCAATCCTTGAACTATGTGTACCGTGTATATATATATACTGTATATATTATATATATATCTACACAAATGTATATACACATGTATATGTAACTGTACACCTAAGTATATATTATACACATATACACGCATACACCAATTTCTATTGATTCTACCTACCCAATACCTACCACAGAAAAGGAATGTACCGTACCAAAACAGAGCCTTGATGGATGCGAGCTTTCTTCCTCCGAGCAGCCCACTGCAGGGGCCTTGGCGGCCTTTGAGCGTTTCCTCGCCAAGGACATGCGGCTTACCACTGAGGAGCGGTTCGTGGTCGAAGCCGGACGCTCCCGGGGCTGGGCTGTGTGGAAGGCTGTTCTCACAAAAGGGAAAACAAAATATATTTAAGATCTAGAGGTTGGAAGACTACATGTAAACAAGCTTGGTGGAGTACTGTAGAATCATTTTACTCGATATAACTCAGTTTGGACTAGTGACTAGCTGCTAGCTGCTCACCAGCAAGAGATCCTCCAATTCGGGTGAAGAATCGGGCTCGGTTGGAACCTTGGCAGCGGACATATGGTCCAAATTCGCAGGTTTTAAGTTTAGATCGACAGCAGGTGGTTTGTACCCTGGACCAGATGGGGTTTTACCTCTCCTGTTATTTCTTGCCGTGAATGAAACTGCCAACATGTATCCTTAATACCCTGTCTACCCAAAGGTGGCCATTTTTTGGGACGGCCCACTTTTAGGAGAAGGATCATCACGTTCGGACGATTCAATTCTATAGCTACAATTGCCGAGAGAATCACTTCTAGACATTTCTAGACTACTTGCCATTTTTGGCCCATACGTTTTGTGGCCCGACTCCCGACCTGCCGAGACCGTGGGCTTTGTGAATGCCCTGGAGACTTGGATTGGTGAGGAAACAGAACCAGCTATGTCAAGGGCCCCTTAAGTAGTCCAAGTGTGCAGTTACGCTCCTGACAACGCCCACCAGTGAGAGAGAGAGAGAGACATTTTCTCTTTACTCGCTTTTTGTTTTGAAAGATCATCAACTAGCAAAGGACTCGTGTATAAACAAGCGGACATTCAGGAAAGCCTCGAAGGCCCACCTGATCAACATCTTTTTTAAGGTGACAGTTGCAGCGACCTCCCCGAGTTGGTTTTGCTAAATGCCAACCATTCATTTTCAGCAAGCATTGCCCAGATGCCAGATGCTCAGATGACCTCACAACCTTCAACCTGGGAATTTGAATACGGGCGGACAAGCCATGTTTTTGCCTAGGGACTGAAATCCGGACCCGCTTTTCTGACATTTTTGGACCCCACGACGCTTGGTCATGCCATCGCAGGGTGTTGGGGGGGGGGGGGGGGGTGAGGGTTAAATTCCCCGCAGTGGAGCGTGTAATGCATAGTATCCCTGGATTCAACTCACAGTCCAACAAGGTTCACAAGAGCGAGTGAGCGAAGGCGATCGAGCGGCTGTTTTCACACGCACATACCTTGAGCCAAATGTTATGGCATGTCAATGCATTGCGTAAGAGCATATCGCAAGATACTGTAACCAAGTTGAAGCAATAGCGTAAACGGGGGCCCCAAAACAGAAAACATGGGGGGGTGCTGTAATTTCGTTGTTTTTCACATACGTCTCATGAGCATGAAGGCTCAAGACGTAGCCACGGTGTGTGCTTTAGTTTTGTTGTTTCGGTTGTCGGGTGTTCCTTGTCCTCCTCGTTTTTGTGCTTTCTTCCTTTGTGGTGCGTCAGCCCTTTCTCTTTAGATCAGTACGTAGACGGCTTACCTCGTGATTGTTCTGACCCTTGAGTTTCTTTTGTTCACGAAACAGGTTTGGGTTCAGATCGTGGCTGGGTAAACTGGGAGCAGGTGTTAGAAACTCGTTTTTCGTTGTTCACACTTTGGTGCAATGTGTGGTCGAGGTTTTCTTTTTCGAAAAACAGAAACTAAGTCCTTTTCTGTTGGTGACTGTTGGTGTTGAGTTGGCGTTTGTTGCGTAGTTGCAGCAGCTCCATGTCGGATGGGTGCGCCGCCGCTGATTTGCTCGACAATGGCATCGATGAAAAAGACTTGCACTCGGAGCCTGACTGGGGACAGCTAGTTACACAAAAAACAGGCAACTTGAGGTGTCGCGAAAAAGCCCTTTCTATTTAGGCAAAACGCATGACAAAGCACTGCGTTTACCAATGAATCTGACATGAGAACCTGCAAAAGAGGGTGCGGTTTCCAATCCGTACGGATGTTTTTGCCTTCGCATTATTTGTTTTGTTTGGGTTTTGGAAATTGTTCTGGAATGTCAACGGGAAAAGTGCCCCGAGAAAAAAGTCTCCAAACAAGCAGGTCTGGAGGCCCTTATTGGGTCCAGAACATCAACCTCACTTGACTCTTGAACAGCCCAGGAATATGTGATGCTACCACTAGCATCTCCACTGATTCCATGGTTTCTGCGCTGCTGCAAGGTGCCGTTTTGCAAGGGAAGCAGACTCGGCTGCCAGTCTCCCGTGTCGACATTCTTTGTGTTCCCTACGTTTCAGATCCGCCTCGCCCCGTGTGCTGATGTAGGTGAAGACTGTCCTGCTAGTTTGCTTGGCCCTGGTCTTAGACGTGCATAACGTGGCTCAAGCGCAAGCACAAATGCACTAGTCAAGGCATGCAATTCAAACCTTTCTTGCAGCTTTTGGATTGGTCGTTCTTGGTGATGGAACGATGTCACTCACTTCTGGAGCTTGGTCGAGTGTCGTCACTAGTGAGAATAGAGGCTCCTACTATATCCATCCTATGAACCGTCGCCCTAGCACTTCCGGGCTGCGTTTCACGCTTTGGATGCTCTGAGGTTGGAAATATGCTCGGAGTCCTCCTCCTGACCTTTGCCCCAATGCTGCAGGAGAAAGACCCCAAGGACGCGGACTATGGCTGTCGCAAACAACCTGGGTTCTAGGGGAATTTGGAGGAGCTTCCCCTTTGCACCTGGGTAGATGTCCTGGTTACCAACCTTCTCACCTGCCTCAAACCGTCCTGCATGCTTTGTTGGGAAGGGGGTCGCCGGCGGTACGTTGGGTTCACGAGTGGGTTTTGCGGGGAGGTTCTTGCACCTCGCAACTGGAGCTTGCCGAGGTTCTAAAGCTTCGATATTGACATTGCTTTTGAGCGCGTAATGCAACACACCTGGCGAAGACCGTGTTTTTTTGCTTGCAGACATTGGTGTTTATACAGTGATATTTGGCTCCTACTGCAAACAAACTCGTCGGGGATCGACCCCCCAGGCCGCATCCTGGGCAACGCTTTTCCCGGGAAATTCATCTCAACGGTCAGCAACGAGTAAAGAATTTACACATGTCAAATGTTTGGCAATCCGACATCGGCCACCACATCGGCCACCACATGTGTCAAATGTTTGTCAAATGAAGTTTGGCAGGTTTTTGGCAATCCGACATCACACCGACATCGGCCACCACTGGCCGGAGTCCCTGTCAGGAACACGGTCCCGCTCCGCTCATGTTCACGTTCATCGTCCTAGACCGGGGTCAGCGGACTCTTGAGTTTTGTTCAAAGTGGATGACCCCTTTGCAGGCATGCACATCTAGAATCTATATAGAGCGGTTTGCGGGACTGCTGGAATTTCATCCTCAGGTGGACTGGGCATTTTTCCAAAACGGAAAGGTGAAAAGACTGGACGCACAGGCAATCAGCTGGCAGGGTTCAGCGGGCACATGCGGGCGCCGAATAATATACAATAATACTTGTCAGTCATGAGGCGTCTAATGAGAATCTTCAAACCACTCCCCAAGAGCTCATCTCCCCAAGAGCTCACTGTAGACGTCATGAGTCTGTCTGGATCGCCCTCCTCGTCTCCAGAGTCACAGTGGTCGGGAGGAGCTGCAAGGCCTTCACATGATGGTGATCTCCAGGAGACGTAGCGGAGTGTAGCGGAGTGGAGACGGGCGGAGGAGAGGGGGATGAGGGGGAGTTTTCCAATCACCTGAGTCCTGAGGTACGCACCGAGGGCATGGCTCGGCGAAAAAGGAAGCAGAGGTATGTAAAAGGGAAAATGAATGACCATGGGGTGAACCTGCTTTTGGACAGCCGACATGGAGCCATGGGTGGTGAACTAGGTGGTCCCAAAACACCAGCAGTGCCAAGAGTGAACCTGACCCAGATGAGGTCCCAGTGTTTCACATGAGATTTGCCCTTTTGGTTGTTCCTAGTAGCTTTATTGTTACTAGTAAGGCACTTGTTACTACTAGCGATGCACTTGTTCCTAGTAGCGTGGCACTTGTTACTACTAGCATGTGTGTCTTTTAAGCATCGTGATAAGGGACCATTGTCATAGCAGGCTCTTCGTGGGATCCTGGAAGATCGGCGATGTATTTCTGCTTTGCTCGCAGGTGTCTCTGCAAACGCCGTGTACATGGTCAAAGTCAGAGGGAACGTTAATGCCACTTTCAAGTCAAGTAAAACCACCATTTGGACAATGGCAAGTTTGGCGAACACTCAGAAACCCGTCGAACTTTTCGTGTGAATCATGTGAACCAGTTTGATACAGTTTGATCATTGACAAAATGACTACTCGAGCGAGAGAAGGGATTTCACCTCTAGTCGACTAGTGAGTAGTTATTTAACTATATTTAATAGCTTCTTGTTACTACTAGTAAGGCACCTGTTACTACTAGCGTGGCACTTGTTCCTAATTTGAATCTTATAATGCAGAACTTTGGGGGAATGACAGCGTAGTTCGACTGTTTTGGGGTGCCACCCAGTGAAACATAAATTGAACCAATGCACAGGACACCGCTTCGAGTCACGCTTGCACCACGTGCGTGTAGCTGTCCGGTTTCGCCAGGGCTGTTTCTGGCGTTTGCCACGCAGGCGGGCGGTCAGTGAGCTTTTGTGAAATGATGGATGATGCAAAGTCTTTCCGTGCTGAGTAAACAGACCAGTCCTTTTCTTTTCAAAGACCGAGTGAGACTGGTTAGTTGCGCAGAGAAGAACTATGCTGGCTCGGAAGAGTTCTGTACTGCATGACTTCGGCAGGTGTTTATGTACAAGACATAGTGTTTCCAACTGTTGCTCAAAGAGATTCTGCACCATCTAGAACCCTCAAACTTCAAACCACTGTTAAATGATAGGATCCACTATCTGGAGCAACAGAGCAACAGAAGATGGCAGGACATGGCGGGACTAATTACTTGTCTACAACTGCTGGAAAGTCGACTGTGTCTGTGTCTCTGGTTTGTGGGATCGTGAACCAAACTATCTCAAAGGCGAGTTTTGCACCTGACCACCTTGAAGTCACAACATGTCACAACTATTCAAAGCAGTTTTGGAGACTATATAATCCACCACCATCTTCCAATCATGCCGCAGCAGGCATCGCCGTTTACGGGAGCGTTTGGGTGGACCTCTTTGCGCCCAAAGACTCGGCCGCTTCGTGGCTGGGCGCCATGCAGGTGAGCGGCTTGGGACGGGGCGGACGTTGACGCGGAAACGATGAGTTTTCAGGTGTGAAAATGGCGTGTATTGTTTTAATCGTGTGGAATGGACACTTTTTTCATTTGTAAGTCGTTTGATTGTGTTTGATTCATTTTGATTCAATATTTTCCTTTCAAGCAGGTTGCAAGGGACTGCTGATTGGGATGTTCTATGATGCTTGAAAGCCTGCACACGTGCAAAGCTCTGTCCGGGCAGCAATGCCCCTTGTCTGGTTTAGCAGGTCTGATTGGTTGGCTGGCTTTCGTGCATTTTGGCGAACCAAGAATACATGTGAGCATTTTCATGCAATTGGTATGTTCTTATGCTCAAGACGCGAATGTGTGGGTCAACTGACATTGTGAGACTGTGTAAATCTTGTCCTCAGCAAGAATCAGTCTGACGAACACAATGCGGTTGTGGAAAACCAGGCTTGAAGATCTCAGGCTTGACCCCGAGAAAGCAACACCTGCCAGTACAGGATGACAATAAGAGACAATAACGAATACCAAATATCATTCATCACGAGTAAAACCATCAGCAATTGTTCTTTCAAGTTTGTGAGCTTGATCGAATCCCGGATCGGTCATTATATAGCTATGGGCCCTCCCGTCGTAAATTATTCCAGGGTGGGGTCACCTCCAGGAATAATTTTTCAGAATATTTTTGTTTTTCGGAATATTAAAAACATGTTGGTGTTGGTGTGGGTCGATGGTACCGTGGAATAATAAAGTAGGAATGTGAAGGTACCCTGGAATAATATTTGGTCGAATGTGAAGGTACCCTGGAATAATATTTGGTCGGTTTTTGGTGGGCAAAAA